AGCTTACAAAACGAATATCGGTTTTGGCATTTGCTCCTAATAGAAACCGATATCCGTATCGTACGGTCCTGCATAACCGTTTCGCAGAATACGTTTCAACGTTTTTTCTCTGGTACAAAACCTAAATTCGTTTCTTCATAAGGCAAAAAACGTTGAAACGTATTCTGCGAAACGGTTATGCAGGACCGTACCATACGGATATCGATTTATATTAGGAGCAAATGCCAAAACCGATATTCGTTGTGTAAGCTACGGATTCTTTTTAGAGAGCAGGAGTTCATAAAACACGGAACCCGGTCACTGTGGGAATGTTTCACTATTATATCTTGAAATTTGAACAGGTCGATCCTTTCGATCAAGCAAACTCGATAAGCAATAACATTCCACAATTGACCTCGCGACTAGTAGTTATAAATGGGTAAAAGATCTTACCGCCGAAGGATTTTGTAAACGTACGTTCTACCACTCTACCATTCTACTTCCTTAGTCTCAGTCTTAGGCATTTTTATGATTTTCTCATGCAGATCTGCTAATATTTTACTTAACAAGATCTTGAATGGATTTTCATAAGATCATTGAAAGATCTTACACGTATTGGTTTTTGCGTTCGTCTTTAGTACTTTCGTACCTCCCGCCCCCATAATAGAAGCCCTCCCATGTTAGAAGTAAATGTAAACAAGTAGAACAATAACACTGCACTTTAGACGTTTTTCTTTAACTCCACTTAGTCATATTTATCTCTAGTTTTCTTTCGTTTGTTTCAGATATGGGCGTCAAACTCCTGTAGCACCACCAATTGGTGTACGTCAAATGCAAAGATCCTCGGGCTTTAATGTTTCACATGGAGAAGATCCACCTTTTTATGATCAACAATACCATAAAGCAGGATCACTGGATCCTAGGATGGTTTATCATCAATATAGAACGAAATATTAACTCATTCATAGCAATCATAATTGTTTTTAGATATGAACACCTCACGGTGCATCGATATTAACGAACGTAAATTTTTGCTGTAAAACTTATCCTCGTGTTAGGTACAGAAATAGCTTTTTTTTCTAGATACACGTAAAAAATGACAAAAAGCGATTCCAGAAACCTGACGAAAATTTTTTCTAAATGTTTATAATCTAAATTTCATATACTAACTCAAGTTTGTCAATTTACAGCTGAATCTGTAGCTGTGTGTCGAACAAAAATTCGAAATCGAAATGTAACCTAGGGTTCAATGTACAAAGTGTTATTAGACTTGACATCAACTGGCAATAAAAGACGAAAATACGCGATGATCTTTGTTGCAATAGTTAAATAATACACTACAATTTTACGTTATGCACTCTTCAGGTTTTCTTCACGACATTGTTTTTGGTTTTTGATGCCTTCTTGTCTCATCAAGTTCTAGAATAGAAGACAAAATTGTTCAGTTAAACAAAAAAATAGGGTTCATTTTAAAAAGACTAAGAACCAAACTCGCGAAAGTTATTGTGAAGTTAAAAGCCTAGTTGACATCAACTGTCTCTTAGTGAATAAATAGTGATTTTAAAATAAACTCATATTCAAGTTGAAAACGAATGTTTTCTACTCTTTCAGAATGCTAAGTAAAAACAATACCTTTCAGATGTTAACTCACATCAGACTATGTTCGGGCAGATTCCAACGTGCATCGCAACAGTTATTCGCTGTTGACGTGACTTCTTTCAAAAGCTATGAATTTAAGTTTTCCATGTTTGTATAGAGAGAGAGAGCGTCTCCATTGCTGAAATTCGAATAGTTTAGTAACTATACAGTTTCAAGTATGAGTATTTTCTCATTACAGCTCTAGTGTTCGGAAGAGCAAATTTGCTACCGTGAACTCTAATCTAGAATGAGTAACTGCATTTTAAATTTAAGAAATTATAATTGAATTTTAGCGGAAGAAATTTATCACAGATGAACTGAATTTATACAGTTTAGTTAAAACAGTAAACCGTTTGTATTTTTCATTCGTTTCATGCTAGATACATCAACATCAATTAGCTGAGAAAAATGCCGCAATCGCAATTGGTTACCATTTTGTAGGATGGGATTTTCAAGAATTGCGCTTCCTGTGCAAGTCTCCGCTTCTTATTACCGTTGTTTTTTGACTTTTATAGACAGACAATGAAAGTGACGGAACAATTGAATTTTTAAACAAATACCATTCTTCACACGAAGACTTTTCATCGTGCAATTGTGCTCTGATGAAAGAGGAAAGTCATGTATCACTCGTGGACCACAACTACTGTACACCAACACATCAAACGTCTCGTTCAGCATCCAGTGTCACACGGGATCCCCATGCAACGAAGGCAAGAAAGAGATCTAATAAAGACGAAAATGCTTTTTCGACAGTACGTAAGCCTTTCTGTTATACACATAGTGTTTTTTGTTTCGTCTTTACTCCCTTCTTTTAGTCAAAAGCAATACAACGAAAAATGCCTCGACGACTGACTTTCTCAGAGACTGATGTTCTGACAGTAAGGGGACACCTTCTATATCCTGATCGGGATATATATCCCGATCAGGATATAGAAAAAAAGTAGTATCCCGATCGGGATATAAAACACGAAATTTCGTCGTAAAAACGATTAAGGGGAAAATG